CTTTTTGCTGCGTTCTTTTTCTTAGACTTCAACAGGCAGATTCATCCTTTATTTGACTTCAGTTTGGAGTTTGCTTTCTGTCCAGAAGAGTGATGTCTGTTGCACATGGTTGCACAACTGTATCAGTATGTAATACGTGTACCTGTGCGACCTACTGTAGGGAACCTGCTTTGGCAGGGGGGTTGGACTCGATGATCTCTGGAGGTCCCTTCCAACCCCTACAATTCTGTGATTCTGTGATTCTGTGTATTTATGACATACGAGAGAGGATGTTTATTTGTTGTTTATTTGCAGAAAGAGCCTGTTAATTGGTGTGGTTTTGCTTTTGTTTCCATCACTGGAAATACTCCTTGAATGCATATGTGCTATTTTGTGTGTTGTTTTTTTTGTGATTACTCTCCATAGAGACCTTTATTGCTCACATTGTGGTCATACTTTGGACATGTTGAAGAGCTTTGAGTAATTAGCAACGTGCTCATGCCCCTGGGACCTCTGTTTCCTATAACGCCAGCTTAGCACAACTGCACGTGACTGAGAAATGATAGCCTCTGGCTCTCATCTGCTTTCCAGGGAAGGAAATGGAAGAGAGCCTGCACGTGGTTTTAAATACGCTGTTTTGGTTTAGACTTTTTTTTTTTCCAGCAAAGCAGACACTTTCCATCTGTGTGACTGTTCAAGGAGTTAATTTATGGGTACTGGTGGCGTGCTGGAAAAGTGTGAGGAGCACTGCAGAGGCACTTGTTCCTGCTGTGGAGAAAGGCTTTCCATTGGCACTGTCAGGCCTGACTCTGTGTCACTTGGAGGTCTGGCTGTGGCTTGGAGGCACTGAGGCTGTCTTGCAACTCCCGGCACCCTGACAGGAGCCAGTACAGGCCTCAGAGCTACTCCTGCCCACATTGATGGAAGAGCTGGAGCCTGGAGGAGATGTGGGAAGAGGCCACGCACCGCTTCACTTTCTGGGGGGTCAGTGCTGGAAGGGACCTCAGGGGTCATGAATCTCCAACCCCCCCTGCCACAGGCAGGGCTGTCAACCTCTGTATTTAATACTGGACCAGGTTGCCCAGGGCCCCATCCAACCTGACCTTGAACACCTCCAGCGATGGAGCATCGACAGCCTCGCTGGGCAGCATGATTCAGCACCTCACCACTCTCATAGTAAAGAACTTCCCCCCGAAGTCCTCACGTGATGAGGTTAGCTCCTGGGTGTTCATGTCTTGTCAAAGATGCTGGTGAGTAAAAATGTTCCATGAGTGTTTCTGCAGCCTGGCTTTGTCCTTAGCAGTTGGATGTGACTGTACAGGCCTTGAGGAATACAGAGATCTGTGCTTATGAATGTCCTGGAAAAAAATTACACATGCATGCTCTAAAGGACATAAGGATATTTATTAATGCAAAACAGAAGATCCGAGTGTGAAAGTTCCTTGGACGATACAAGCCTGTGGAAATACGCAATCAAGGAGTTAAAGCCTATTACTTTAAAGCAGCTGTTGGCAGTGGTGTTTCTGGTCTTGAGTCTTCTCTCCCTCAGTGGTCTCAGCCCTGTCCTTGCTTTCCAGGCTCCTCCTTTCCAGCCAAGGGGTTCCCAGACACTTGTCCTCCTCAGCCATGCAATAAGCGCTCCTTACATCAGCTTTCTTCTCTCTGTCCTTCCCTGTCCATCTGTTCTGCACATGACGCACAAACTATCTGACTTACTTCTGTACCTTTCTCCCTATGTGGGTGCTAAGTGGACTAACACAGACAAGAGAGACACAAACTAAATATCAGAGCAAAAAAGTACTTGAGTTCAGTTTTCTTTTCTGATACTGAAGAAATCGCAGTCACACCTGAAAGATATGAATGGGTAGAAAATATTTTGTTGCTTGCTAGCTGTAGGAGTGGAGTCTAATTTGTGCTGAAAAGCTGTAAGATTATCCAGTGATAATCTGTTAACGCCCTTTAAAACTTTCAGCTGAATATGAATCATCTGCAGCTTTTGAAAGATTTACAAGTTGGCCAAATTGAAAATTTTTACAAGGGCAATTAAGGCTGTTCCTAGCATTTCTCAGGGCAGACAAATGTCAAGGTCCTGTTACAAAACTTCACCTGCAATAAAAACTGAACAGCCCTACAGCCCACTTAGCTTTGGGAGTGGCCTGTGTGTTGTATGTGAGCAGACTCTTGAGAAATAAGAATCTGAAAAAGTGAACATATCATTAGTTTTATGTGAGGGTTAAAGAGGATATCTGGAATGCATCAAGATGCACTCGAGTTGTTATGCCTGTTTGTTTTGCTTTGTAAGTTATTACCTTTTAAATACAGATAAGTGTTACTATGACTGCACTCCTAATTATATAGGAGTTGTCTTTCAATCTCTCAAGGCACTTTTAAAACCTTAAAAGAAGCGTGTTCATGAACAAGTATTTGATAGTAATTTGATAGTTTTTTTTTATCTGAGTTGAGGTATACTTGGTTCTTACGTTATATTTCCTTTCTTCCACATAAACTATGAGTTATTTGGTTTTTTGTGGGAGATGGATAGAAAGGTTGAAGGGAAGCTGCCCATTAGTTGACCAGTATTTGCTCCTGGGTCCTGAGTCATTGCTTTTGCTTTTAGTGTCTCAAATTACCTTTTTTGCTGATGGCAGTTCTTGTCTCTCTCTGACAAATGACACTGTGCTAGAATTGTGTGCCTGGGGAATTGCATCGGTGTGAAAGTGCTGGAGTAGAGAATTGCCAGGCATCTGATACCTAAGTTACCTTTATATGCCCTAAGGAAAATAGTGAGTCCAGAAGGCACTGTAACTGGCAGCCATAAAACTTCATGTTGCTTCCTAGATGTCTGCTTGTCTGATATGGATATTTCTTAAATCTGTGCTATTTTGCTGATTTCTAGAACTGACCTCCAGTGAGCAGGTAGATTCAGTGTTCTTACTCAAGCCCTCCTCAAGCAACGCCCAAGTTTCCACAGTGGCCAAATCCTGTACAAATGATCAGAGAACATTCAACTAATTCCAGTAACCCTACCTTCCTGTTCCCAGTATACAAAATAAAGAAGAGCTCTCTTATGTGCTTGTAGTGCTTGCTGCTGATCGTCACTTCTGTAGTTCAGCAAGAGGAGTGGCAGGTGGCAGTGTATGCAGCTAAAAGTTGTGGTATTCTGTTATTTTCTTGCATCTGCTTACTTATCTGTCTAGTCTGGATGACTAACCAATACTTCAAATGTTGGTCATTAAAAAGAAAAAAGCCAAAACATTCTGCTTGGAAACCCCTGTCTTAGTAAGTTTGAATTGTAGAGATATACTGAAACCAAGACAACAGCAACAAAACCTCTTCCCTTCATTTTTCCTCTGACTGTTGAGCAGCAAGCAGCACAAAGTCAAGTTGGGTGGATGCTGAATCAGGAGGAGTTCTGTGGTTATTTTGGGTCACTTGGAAGAGATCTGTAGAATTTTTTCATCTCAGAAAAAAATATGTTAATGGACAAAGGCAAATATGAAAAGCCTTAATCTAAAGGCTGACTTGTTACAAAAGAATTTTAAAAAGCATCATAATTAAATTAAGTGTCCTGCTGCCTCAGCCATAAACTGTGACAATAAATGCAGGATAACCCCTTTCTTGTTCCTTAATATTTTTGCAATTAGTTCACTTTCTGTCCTACAGAGAGACTGCATGAAAGATCTTGTTATTTGTTGCTGTGATAAAATATGCTGGCTCAGCCTGCCTGAAGAAACAGAAGCCTTGGCAAGAATGCTGATTACCATGACAATCTAAGCAGTCTAGAGTTGCAGATTGCGTGGGTTTTATTGTAAAGATATAAAACGAGTCCTGGATGGTAGAAGAGCTGATAATATCATCCTGATTCAGGAGATCCAAGCACCTTCACAAGACTTTTTTAATAGTGTGTTACCTGAAGGAGGGAGAGAAACCTACAAACTTTATTTATATGTTTATAAAGTATTTGTGTATAGTAGTTAAATATTTATTTTTATTCTGTAGTTATGTGTTATACCATTTTTGATACAGGGCTGAACTCCTGTATAAGAGTGGTTTTGAGGAGGAGCTTGCTGGAAAGGTCAGCTGAGCCAAAGATTTTCCACAGATGATGTTTCTGAACGGAGACTTCCAACAAAGAGTTTTCCCTCCAAGTGATAGAAAAGCAGCTACAGCAGGTCTAGGCAGGGGATGAGGCCCTTATGTTGGAACACAGAGAGGCCTGGGAAGTTTTATTGTCTCTCCTTGCAGCTGCACGGGATCTTCAGCATGAGTTTTGGGTGTATGCAGGTTTCCTGTGATACAAACACACATTAAAAATAGCAGTAGATAATGCAGGGCAAGTTTTCAAATCCTCATGGTTTCTCCATGCTCATGCAGATAGGAACAATAGCACCAAGCTATTATTCAGCTTTTCTTCCCACTCTCTACACTTGGATGGAGTGGCAAGTCTGTCCTGCAGGATATTCCTAAGAAAAGACAAAAATACTTCCAACACTCCCTTGTCCTAGCCATATTAGGACGGTAATGGTTTCAGCCATTACCATTTTCAAAGGTGAAAGCTGAAATGTCAACCCTCCCTTCAGCAAAATGCACTTTGATGACTGAAATGAGTGGTAATGGGGTTAACAGGTTTAAACCAACAGCCTTATGTAATGTGTTGTCCCACAGTGGGGTAGGAACAACATTCTGTATTCTTCAGTGATGTGCAAGAAGAAAATTGGGGACGCTGGCATTCTGCTTTAGAAGTTTGAAATAGAAAGGAAAAATGACTTGGTGTCCAGATGTCCCTGTACAACTGTGTATATTTTCTATTGCTTTCTTAGTAATTTTATTGTTTATACTAGAGGATTTGTTGAAAAGCAATGAGGTTATCAGTATGTCAAGAACTTTGTTTTGTTCCAGTGACTCAACATTCTAAGGCATTGCTGTCTGAGTTCCATTCACAGCATACAGCACCTGCTGGTCATGTGAAGTCATTAATAAGAGTAAAAACAGTTTAAATTAAAGACTGTCTTTTTGCACAGTTCTAGAGCATGAACCCAAAGCTGTGGGTACAAATGATGAAGAGGAGGATGAGGGAGAGCAGTTTGACTTTGACAGTGGGGATGAGATACCGGAAGCAGACAGACAAGCCTTCGTGCCACCTCCTCCTGATCCTGGAAGTAACACAGAGCACCAAGAGGCTAATGTCACAGGTGAGTCAGCCTGATGGGTTCTTCCGCCGTTAGGCTGAGTCGAGATTCATCATAGAATTAAAAAAACAGGTAAAAAATCTACCTGGACTTGTGCAAGGCCTTTGATGTGGTCCTATACTGCATCCTTATCTCTGAATTGAGTTTAAAGGTGGTGGTGGGTAAAGAGTTGGGTGGTCACTGCCAGAGGGTTGTTGTAAACAGCTCAATATCCAGGTGGAGGCTGATGAGTGATGTCCACCAGGGGTCCGTCTTGGAACTGGAGCTCTTCAGCCTCTTTATCAGTGATGTAGACAATGAGATTGAGTGTACCCTCAGCAAGTTTTCAGATGACACCAAGAAGAGTGGTGCAGCTGACACTGTAGAAGGGATGCCATCCAGAGGGTCCTAGAGAGGATTGAGAAGTGGGCCCATGTGAACCTAGTGAAATTCAGCAAGGCCAAGGGCAGTGTGTTGCACTTGGATCAGTGCAGACCCAGGTTATGTCTACAGACTGGAAGAACTCACTGGGAGCAGTCCTGTGGAGAAGGACTTAGGAATTTTGTTGGATGAAAAGCTGGACACAAGCCAGCAGGTCTTTTGCAGCCTGCAACACCAACAGTATCCTTGACTGCATCAAAAGGGAGGTGACCAGCAGGACAAGGGAAGTAATTGTTTCTTTACTCTGCCCTTGTGAGGACCCGCCTGGAATCCAGGCCTGGGGCCCCCAGTACAAGAACGATGGGGAACTGTTTTAATGGGTCCAGAGGTGGGGCACAAAGATGATCAAAGGGCTCTCTTGTGAAGAAAGGTTGTGGGAGCTGGGCTTGTTTAGCTTGGAGAAGAGGAGGCTTTGGAGAGATTTCACTGTGGCTACCCAGTACTTGAGGGGAGCTTTTGTGAGCAGGAGGGAGACTGACTTTTTATGCAGACAGATAGTGATAAGACAAGGGGGAATGGTTTTAAGCTAAAAGGGGAGAGATTTAGGTTAAATGTTTACTCAGAGGGTGGTGAGGCACTAGAACAGGTTGCCCATAAAAGCTGTGGATGCACCATTCCTGGAGGTGCCCAAGACCGGTTTGGATGGGCTGCCTGATTTAGTGGCTGCCCATGACAGTGGAGTTGGAACAAGATGATTTTTACAGTTCTTTCCAACCCAACCTGTGATACAACTCTATGATATGAAGAGAGATCTGTGGAACAGCTGTGCATGTGTTTTGATTATTTGTGCTAGCTATACTTCTGGTGAGTTGAGAAGGCAAACAATGAACAAGTGCAGTTCCTGTGAGTTTTCCCATCCATGTTCAGTAAAAAGCAGTGTATTGGTCTCAGTCATACTGCCATGCTACAATAAAACTTTGCCTTTGCAACTGTAATAGGTATGGATGAATCCAGATGAGCTGCTTTCACAGCTAAGCTTTCTGGTTGCTGATCTTAAGCTGATATGCATTAAAAAATGGAGTCAGAGTGTCAGAATTTTGTTCTTAACAGAAGTCTTGTTTTATTGAAGATTAAAACATTTTTTTTTACAACACTTGCAGATGTTTTCAATCCTGAGGTATGTTCTGGAAATTACTGTATTCTGTTCAAATTGACAACAGCTGATTTTGCTGACTTTGATCCAGTTTTCTTTTGTCGACAGACACTGTGGTCATGGCAATGAGAGGTAAATAACTGATCAGTTGACCGTGCAGTTTGACAACCTGGAATTTAAATACAGCCTTTCACTGACAAACTGTTGCTCACTTGCAAGGTCATGCTTCCAGCTCAAAAACTTCTGATCACTTGGGATCCAGTTCTGTAGTTTGCTTCAAAATGGCCTTTAGTTCCACTGCATTTTAGTTCTCTAAAGATACCAGAAAGAAGAGAGTTTATTTTCAAGGAGGAAAACTTGGAAAGTCATTTTCTTTTCCTTTTTCTTAGCAGAGCATTTTCAGCTCCCTGTAGAGTGTCCTTCCAGTGAGCATTTTTTTGCTCATGGCTATTTCTAAAATGTTTACTATATTTGTATATATAGGGTACAAATTCCACTAGAAACTGACTTCAGATTTCAGGTCTTAAGGCTGTTTGCAGGTATGTTTTTATGGGAAGCAAGAAGGTGTCCTGATAACCTGTCAGAAATCTCCTTGTCTAGTATTTAGGATCAAGTTATTGTTTTTCCATGGTGTAGTTTTTCCATCCTTGTGACATAGTTGTTTTGCTGCTGTTGCATTCCTCATCTGTAAAATGGGGAGGAGAGCACCACAGTGTGGAAATTTTGAGTCACAGATTATAAGTTGTATATAAAGTCATATAAATGTTTGGGATATTTTAAATACCAATACAAGCATCTTGGACAGGCACAAAAAATAAAACTTTGTTTAATTTTTCAGCTAAAGGAGCTGATAGCTTAGAAAAAAGTGAGAAGCTACAAGCATCAGAACCTATTGCAGAAGATACTCCAAGGAAAGTAAATCCCTACTCAGTCATAAATATTTCCCCAATGCAAGAAAAGGATCCATCCTCCTCACCAGATCCAAGTCCTCAGGATGAACCTGCCAGTCCAAACACATCCAGTGGATATTCTGTCCCTGTGCCCTGTGGCTATGCAGTGCCATCCAATTTACCTCTGATACTGCCAGCATACTCCAGTCCTGTCATAATACGTAGCGTTTCTGTAGATGAGGAAGGTAAGGTGTTTTTGCAACTTACTTTCTTTGAAGGGGGGATTCTTGTTTAATGTGAGATAGTTGTGTTGTTTTGTAAATGCTTACGTAGCATTCAGACTTGATGTCTAGGAGATTTTGCGTCAAAATAGAAGAATAATTTCATCATGGAGTAGGAGGTAAGTTTTAGCTGGACTTAGTCAATAAGTGTCAGCTTATTTGAAAAACACAAATTGTGAGTAACAACAGGAAAAAAAAAAGAAAAAACATTCTAATAAAACTCTGCTTTCCTCATTAGGATCGAGATAGCTAAGCTAAGATGCATAAGGAAAAAATGTATAAACACTAAGTCAGTTATATCCCAACATTTTACATCTGTGATATTTGGCCTTTGTTTTTGCTGGCACAATATTGCAGCATAAAGCACAAGTCAGGACTCCTGTCTTCTCTTACCATTAAAAATGATTAATGCTAATTCCCTTCTAATGTCACAGAATAATTTCCAGAGTCATGATTATGTATTCAAGCCAAATGATTTCTTCTCAAACCCTTAGAATACTTGAACTAGGTTCTATCAGAATTCCTGTCTCTTTTACCTTTTCTGTATCCACTTCTTTTTATTTGTTTTTCTAGGCCTTGTGGATTTAGATTTGATGTGAGTTTTTTTTTCTTGATGATTTGGTGAACTCTGCTTGTCCTTTAATACGATACTGAGACAGAAGAGGAAATAACTATGGATTATTACAGAAACGGGAACAGTCCCCCTATTTTGTAAACAGAATTGGCAAAGTTGACAGCTTAACGCTAAGAAAGCAGGAGGAACAGAAAGCTTTCCATATCCTGTTAATTTTTTTTTTATTTCAAATATATTTTTCTTTAGCTAGGTTGCAATCCTACTGTAATTCTGTGTGCTATGACACTTTTTTGCATATTAGGCATATCAGAGAATTTATGCAAATATATTCTTATGTTTGTGGTTGATATTGCCTGTTGAGGAATATATGTTTGAGAGAGAAGAATTAAATGTGTCAGGCACTGTAATTTTCTCTGATAACTCTTACAACAAATTGCTCTGTCCCTGTGAATTATCTGAGTTGTGAAAATAGACATGATAGAAAATAGATATGAAGAAGCACAACTTTTTTTAGCTATGATCAAGAATAAAAATGATGCATAGATTATTCATTAGCAATATTAAAAAAAAAAAAACAGTTTCATTAATTTATGCCATTTGAAACAGACTAACATTTTATTCTAAACATTTTGATGATTGTATGTGTTTTTTTCTATTTAGCAGGTATGCAATCAGCAACTGAAGAATGTCATTGTAATTCTTTAAACTCAGAGGAGCCCCAAAATAGGTGATTGACAACTCAATATGTTTTAATGATCTAAACTCAATATGTTTTAATGATCTATAAAACTTTAATTCCTGAGAAACCTTGGATTCAATAAATCAAAAACTTTGTTTTTCATTTTCCATGTCTGGAGCTTTCAAGTTTTGTTATTATTTTGACTCCTTAACTTTGCTTGTGTACTAAAATCTGCACAGATTAAGGTCTAGTGTATATAACTGTCCATGACATTTTGAGGGGAAAAAACAAAACAATTTTTATAGAGTCATCAGCTGCAGCAGGACCACTGCCAACGTGCAGTCAGACCAGCTGTGGCTGATGGAATTCCATCACTTCTATAGCTCTCTTTCAGTTAGTTGTAGCTGTTATTGGATCACTCTTATCAGTCTAAATAAGTTCCCTGTATTCAACCTTTTGCTTGTAGGCTATGTGCCTACCATGTCCCAATTTCTGCACATCTCTCTAGAAGAGCAATTTTGGGGAGCTAAACCTGGATGGGTTACTGCAGATTGAGCCCCACCCGTGGCAGCTAGAGAAGGAAAATAGCCTCCCCCAGACCAGTAAGAGGCTGTGCACCTGTTGCTGTAGCCTTGAATGTCTTTATTTTTATTTATAGTGAAAACATTTTCAAAGAGAGACTTTTGTGTTCTGGTAAAAAAAATAATCTAGAAATAAATATTTCTTGAGGTTGGAAGTGTTTTCAATTTATTGACTAAAGTCGTCAGACTATTCAATGGATTACAGACATGCTGAAGCAGGGTTTTTAAGGAATCATCAGCCTCAGAGTGAGAGCTGGAAAACAGTGAGATGTTTTTATTTATTGACTTGTTTTTGTGAATGTTTAAATGTATTGTTATGTAGATTTTAGTGCTTTTATTTTATGCCTTTTTTTTTTTTTTCCCCTCAAGTGAAGATAACCAGGACAAGAGAGAAGATGATGCTCTGGCCAAGTGGGTTGCAGATCCTGCAAATACAGCGTGGATGGAAAGTAAGTATCAGTGAGCTCAGAACACAGCCGTAGAAGAAGGTCAGTTTTAAGTTGTGATAAACAGTATATGTAATGTACATTTTATGTTACAGGAGTGTCCATGTTCATTTGTATTTTTTTTCAGTATTCTGGAGTCCAACTGTACCCAGTTAAAATATCCAGTAGTGTAATAAAATTATGTGTTATAAAGCAAAGTTAAAGTTAACGTTCACTTTTCCATTCCTTTTTGGAGTCTACAGAATAATTAATCACTGTCTAAAGACATTTGGCTCTCATGTATATGGTGGAAATTTGCTTAAGTTCATGGTGTTCTCTGTGACTGAGTATGAACTTGCACTCCTACAGTAACTGACAAACAAGTTCTTAGAGAAGATGGAAGGGAAGGAATAGGCATAATTTGTTAATAGAATCATAGAATTGCTCAGGTTGGAAAAGACCTTAAAGATCAGGAAGTCCAACTGCAAGATCATCAAGTCCAAATGCATCTATCTAAAAGCAGAACATAGACAATATGGTTTGCTTGCTGATAGGTTATCCTGACTGCTCTCAGATACAACAATGTGAGGGATCCCACTGGGCTGGAGGTTCATCTTAATGTCACTTGAAACAGTTGAAGAATTTGCATTTCTGTCACGGAATCATAGAATGGCCAGGGTTGGAAGGGACCCCAAAGATCCTGAATCTCCAACCCTCTGTCCTACCTCTTGACTTTCTAAGTTAATCATTATGTCACTTACGGTTTTGATTCTTTTTCTGAAAATGTCAGTTGCAGCTTCTTAAAGCTAACTGGTAAGGCGTTGAGCAGCACTTTATAAGTACTATGATGTGAAAAGGAGAGAGCTAGCTGTGGAAGCAGATTTCTGTTTTCACGCTACTGAAGGTCATAATAAACAGTGCAGATAAAAGCACTTGAAATGTCACACATACCATGTAATTACAGTTCCTATGTATTATCGCGTTATTTGAATAACCAGTATTAGATGTACTAGTGAAATGCTGAGGAAAAATGAATTGCATCTCCTCTGTATTATAGAATTATGTAATATCTTGTGTTGGAAGGGACCTTTAAAGAATCATCTAGTTCCAACCCTCCTGCTATGGGCAGGAACACCTTCCATCACATCATCAAACTCTTTCAGGGAGTGACAGTCCACAACTCCTCTGGACAATCTTTCAGAATCTACCAGTACAGCCAAAATTCTTTTGTGGTCCCACTTGGATTTTAAGGGTTTTCTCATTCCTTCTTGCTTGTTTTGATTTGCTTTCAGACCCAGATGAAGTAATTTACGATGACGTGCCAAGAGAAAATTCGGACTCTGAACCAGGTTTGAAGGCTTTGTGATATGGACTGTATAGATGTTATTTTAAGTTAAAATCAATGTAATGCAACCTATGTGCATGTATACTGAACAGATGCATTAACTAAGTTCTATGTAAGCAGGATTAGCCCTAACAATCATCAGTAGATCTTACAGTGTTGAAAATTAAAGCTGACTTTTGACATCTATCTCAGCATGTCTCGTACTCCTCTATGTCCAGGCAGATAATTCTGTTTTATTTTATAGATACACCTCAAAATTCCTGAGTGACTATAATTTTATGTTAGAGGATGACAGTGTTGGGTGTTGTAGCTGTAGTAACCTAAACAAGGCAGAGCGGGTAGGGAAAGAGTGTTTTAAATAGTCTATTGATATATAATAATACAGCATTATCACAGTTGTACAGGGAATTTCTTTATTCTTGGAAGTTTCCTTTCACATAAAGATTGCTGTTTGATGGAAAACTGTATTCAGCTTACTGAATATCAGGGGAGATGTGGGGCAGGTGTTTACCATCTTGACTGTGAGTCTACAGAAAGGATTTCTTTCAGCTTTGCAGTGTTCTAGCTCCTTACTGTATTTGAAAGGAGTAGCAAAGATCTTAAAGTAGTTGGTGGAGCCTAGATTTTTCCTTTATTGGGAAAGCTGGAGTTAGGGATAAAGAAGCTTCTTAAAACAAACTTTTGCTGAGGTTTGTTGTGTTGTTTTTCTTCATTGTGAAGACTATACTAAAGGCTTGTTTGTCACTAACAAATTATGTTTGAATGAATCTGCTTGTTTAGGAATTTGGCATCTGCTTTTCATAGCTATTCATTTGTTACTGAAATTGATTATAACCATGTTAAAGATTCAGCAAAACAATTTCTTGTGTAGAGTACATGTTTATCTTTAAAACCTTAACATTTTCATTTCTTGTCCTTAGTGCTATCTAGGCAAGATGTTTTACAAAATGTATTATTAAAATTTGTTTCATTTATAATTTGAATTTATTATGTTGCATTTATATGTAATGCTTTTATTAGTGGGAAGTCCCTTAGTGGACTAGGCAGGGATGTCTTTGCACTGTGGTTTCTCAGCCAGGATATAATTGTAGTTTGAGTAGTAGCTGTGAATTCTTTCTAATATGTTGTGGGATTTGGACATAACAATATTGTTTGAGTAGGGCATATTTCCAATGGTATTGTGGTGTGTAACAAGAACACTGGCTGTGTGTTCTGGTACTATTTCAACAGACACACTCACTTTGGCTGTTTTTAATATTGAATTGGATTAATATTATGCAAGAGTGTGCATATGAAAGTCTGCACTGTTCTTTATGGTACATCCTGAACAAGGTTTTTGTTGTTTAGACAAACAGGTATTTCAGTGTAGCTTTCTTTTATTTTGGTTTTAATTCTTGCAGAGGAAATGATTTATGATGATGTTGAAAATGGCGATGATGGTGGAAACAGCTCGCTGGAGTATGGATGGAGTTCAAGTGAGTTTGAAAGCTACGAAGAACAAAGTGATTCTGAGTGTAAAAATGGAATTCCCAGCTCCTTTTTGCGAGGCAACCACAAGAGGCATGTATGTATCCTGCAGTGCTGTTCAGTCATTGAGGTTATTCTGATTTTCAGCACTTGTATTTCTCTCCTGTATTTCCCGTCTCCTCTGTCCAGCTTCAAATGCCATCATCTTTATAAAGGAGTTGTAAATCTGTGGGAGCAGCAGTCTACAACAAAATGCAACAGGGAGAAGATACGAGTATTAAACAGGAGCTCCTTAAAAGAGAAAACCTCAAACTAATTAAAAGTGGAATTAAAAATTGAATCATTTTTCCATGTGGGCAGTTCATAGAATCATAGAATCATAGAATCATCAAGGTTGGAAAAGACCTAAAAGATCATCCAGTCCAACTGTTCACCTATTCCCAATAGCTCCCACTAAACCATGTCCCTCAACACATGTTCCTCACTTCCTTTATTTTTTGCAGCTTCTGGGTTAGTGTATGTGGTAAATGAGTATAGAAAATGTGAAGAACAACTGGGGTAAGCTTGAAGTTTTGGGATCCTTCAGGCACCCAAAAGTCACAAAATTGTCACGTGTTCCGTACCTGTTTGCCTTAGATCTGTATCACTTTGGTCATTTGATAGTGACTGAATTTAAAGAAATTTAAAAAATCTTTTTTTTGTGTGACCACAAAATTGTGGACAGAATTGTGGTCTTATTGTGGACAGAATAAAGGCGGTGGTGGTTAAAATGCTATATGGGTGACATGGCTCTGTGCCAGGAAGCCACATGGGAATGTACCCTTCCTGCATCTTTCTGGCTGCATTTCAGGAGGAAATTTGCACTCCCATGCTCTCTGTACTTCGTTTCCTCTCTTTTTACTGTTATGCCTTTACTGTGGGGGGAGAAAAAAAAAAAAAACTCCTGCATGTGATCTGGGGAAGCAGTCAATTCCCTGCTCTGAGTGCAGGCAGAATGCCCGCACCCAGGTGCAGTGCAGAGCCTGGCCAGAGCACAGCTTCTATAAGAGGAGGAGGTTTTGGTGCTTGGAGATCCTACAGAAAACTTGGAGTTTCTCTGATGTTGCTAACCAGTAATAGATGCCTATGAGCTGTTTTATAGCTGAGTACAGTCAGTGAGCGAAGTGCTCCAGCACTCAGAAGTTTGTAGCAGTAATGCAGTGGCAGGAAGGGGAAATACCAAAAACTGAGGACCAAATTTGTACATTCTACATATTTTTTCATTAAGCTGGGTGTGCTTGCTTTAGCTGCTTTCTGCTTCTCTGGCCCTAGATTCTTTTTATCCTGTTTTAAATACTACTACTACTCTTGCTACCACATTTATCGCACCTTTATTCCAGGAAATACAGTCCCTGTACACGTGCACTTTCAAACAGAAAATGTGTGAGAACTTTAGAGAGCACATATTCAAGATGGGAATACTGAAGCACTTGCTCTTCTATGGCGCCTTTATTTTGAATTTTACAGGCTTCTTATCTTAATGAAAACAAAAGCCTCATTTCTTTGTTTCCCTCCAGTACCCGTTATCTGCTTTCCCTTGACCTCCATCCTTGCTGCCTGTGCTTTGGAAATCAGGGAGTGAGCAATTAGCTGGAAAACTTGATCCCACTCAAATCAGCACTTTGTAAGTTGGGTGCTGATGTTGTGGTTTTGTTGTTGTTATTGGTTTGTTGTTTTGTTGTTTTTTTTTTTGACCTGACTAGAACAAGTTTAAGCTGTTGCAGCAGTTTCTTTCTGGGGAGGAAGTTTTTCAACTAACCTAAAGAGAACTGAATTTGGTTGTTGAGTATCTTTGGAAGAGACTGGAAAGTACTTTGCACTTCAGCATGTAAGTCTTGATGTGGCTGCTTGTTTGTTCTTCTGAGGATAGAGGTGAGGAGTTTAGAGTATGTTAGCTGGTGGATGGAGAAGTCGGAGAGACTGCTGCCCCTGTATGGGTCACTGAGAGCTGGAGAAGTTGGGAAACTGGAGAGGGGGTTTGGAGGAGGATGAGGAAAGACCAAAATTTTAGGATTTTTAAGATAAAACAAACAAGCTCCTGCATCGGCATTTCAGCATAGGCAGAAGCAGCTCCCCTTTTTACCTATTCCCTGTGTCCAATCCTTTGACTAACTCTCGCTTCTCCTCAGGTCTTATGATGGATGTTAACAGTATTTTCCCAGCGTGTTTCCTTTATAGTCTTTCAGAGCCTGTAAGGGACTTAACTTATTATTTTTTCAGTAGGTTGAAAAGTATGGGAAGGTTGGAGGCATGATTTTAATTGCAAGTGGTAATATGACTTCCCTCAAAGTCACTTTTTAATTACTGCTTTTGAAATTAATTTTTAAATTTTATTTTGAAGAACTGAGAGTGTTTATATTATCAAATATTTTTAGGCTGTGAACCAGATGCTGTTCTTAATTATACTGCTGTAATACCAGAATCATCATGTTGGAGGTAATTGCATCCTAACCCATCCTAGTAGAGCTCAGTGTGGGACCTGCCCCTTTGTTTTCAGCTCAGTAAGCCTTCTCTTTCCTGATGCTTTGATCATTTGCCAAATAACTCTGTTGGCATCAAGCAGAGGGTTTTTCCATTGGGCTTCTTTTCTATTATAAGGCACACCAAATATCTATTTTTTTCCCTATTGAAATGTTGGCTGCTTTCATTTGGCTTTCTCAAAATGTTTAGCGGTGATTAATTAGTACTCCAGGGCATTTCTCCATGATAACTTACCTTGCAAATGAATATATTTGTGCATGAGGTGGTTATGTGGTCATGCAATAAGGCTGTGATAGAGCAGAGGAAAGACACATGCTTCCCAGTTCCCACACACTGGGAACAAGTCTCTGTGTCCTCCCCTATTAGATTCTCCTTTCCCAACTCGTTAGTATTGTAGATCTCCGTCTTCTCAGGTGTCAGCAACTTCTGCAGCTTCATCAACTTTTGAGAACTCATCTGATTCACCGTTTTGAAGGAGAGTCAGAAATGCACTGGGTAGGCTTTGCACTCCGCTGAATGATGCTCATGTTAAAACTGATGTGTTTCCAAATGGTTTGTAAGAAATGTACATAATACAATTAATATGCAGTTAGCTTAGACTAAGTGACTTTATCTCTCTCTTTACATAGTTGCCAGCATAGTGCAAAAGTACCTGGCTGACTTTCGGCAAGTCCAGTGAACTGCAGGGGTAATGGTCCATTCGCCGGGCTGGAGCTTCCCTGTGTGAATATTCTCTCCTTCAGTTGTCTGTGTTTCAGTAGGCAGACTGGACAACATGCATGATATGCTTGAGTACTTTAGCATGAAGTTTGCACTACGGGCTGTTTGAAAAGATTGTGTCTTTTTGTGTACTGTAGCTTTCTCATGACCTTACGCGTTTAAAGGAGCATTATGAGAAAAAGATGAAAGATTTGATGGCAAACACTGTGGGAGCAGTAGAGATTCAGCAACTAAAGCAAAAACATGAGCTGAAGGTAGCGTAGTTAATTTCTGTAATTAGCTATGTTTAAATTATTGCTTTTCCAATGCAGGCTGTGTTGTCTTTTTCTTTTAATAATAGCTTGAAAAAAATGGACAATAGTTTGTTTAAAATGAGTTCTAAATGAAGCAGCAGTTTGTCTTGAAAATATTTTGTCAGTAACTTTTTCTCATGCTTATTTATCAATCGTAGCAATTTCAGCAGATCAGATAGGATCAGATAGGACATTGTCCTGCCTTTACCCCAGAGTCTGAGCTAGGAGTACAACCCCAGTGAGCTCCACAGGGCACGTCTGACCCTAGCTTATTGTCTGTGTTGCATAAAAATTGTAGGACTAAGAATGTTGCTGCTATCCATTTCTGAATGGAATGAGCATACAAAGGCTATTTTTATGGAGTTTTTTAATGCTAAAAACTATATCTCAGGCAGAAAAAAACCTGCCTGATTGCAGCAAGACAGCTTTATTTGTATTCTAATGTAGCTGATGATGTCAGCACAGTTCTGGCTGTGGTGGTTTGGCGGCCGCTGGGAAAGGAAGAGTACAAACCAGTTTAGTTTCCTAGTGAAACATCTCTTTTTTTTTTTTCTTCTTTTTCCTCCAAGGAACTTCCATGTTGTTGAAGTGTATTATAAAATTCTACTTAATTAAACCAGTATACTGATTTCTTCAATTAATGAAATTATTGTTTTTAACATTTTCTGCAAGACACAGTGGTTATTTAAGAATGTAGTCAATACAAAATTGAATCTTTAAGTTGGAAATATTCTGGTAGAGCTAGTGGCAGATGAATGAGAAGCCTTGCCATGTATGACCTTTCTTAGTATTTATTTGTTATATAATAGAATGCTGAGCTATTGAGTTTATTGTAATGTCAGATATTTTGAAGCAGAAGGGTTCTTAAACCATTTTGAACATACATGCAAGGTTGTCATAAAGTAAGACCTTTTGTTCAGGTTTGATTTTATTAGGAAGAAGTACGGATGTTCACATCTGCAGTTTGATGGCTGTGTGTACTTCCAGTATATTTATTTGACTTTGGGCTATATTTATAGCCCCCACTTGACAGTATTTTTAAAAAGATGTTAAAAGTACTCTGCATGGTATGCAGAAGCGGATTCCCATTATTCACTGAGCATGTAGACTGTATTCTTTATCTTACAGATGCAAAAGCTCATGAGAGCTGCTAGAGAAGGTACCAAAGATGGACTTGAAAAGACAAAAGCAGCTGTGAAGAAGGGTCGTTCTTTCATTAGAACTAAGTCTTTTATTTCTCAAGGTATGTGCCTGTTATTTTACTCTGTTAATGTTGTTTCTTCTAGTTATTTCTGAGGAAGGGTGTGAATAGCTGAGTAGGATTTTTATTTGTACTAGGAACCAAGTACTGGATGCACAGAATTATAGAATCATAGAATGATTTGGGTTGGAAGGACCTTAGAGATCACCTAGTTCCAATCCCCTGCCATTGGCAGGAACACCACTTATTAGATCAGAATGTCAAATCAGTTCTATGTCAGCTAATAATAGTTTAGCATTCAGTTCAGATCAATGTACAGTCACTGCATCTTGAGTAGTTTTGGACTTAGGGTGCAGTGACCTCTGAATCTGAAAGCAAGGCAGAAGAGTCCACTTAAAAAAAATATGAGTGTAATAGATGCTAGCTAGAAATTGGTATATGGGGATTATAGAAATTTGATTAGGGTATTCAGTTTGTCTACTTCCCTCCCTTGAATAACTCTGCCTAATAGTGGAAGCTTTATCACGCTTTAGTGATTTTAGTTTAAAAAAAAAAGTATGGGGGGAGGGTCTTGAATTAGGAGCTGTCAAAACAGGAGTTCTAAATTCAAACAAGCATCAGTCCTTTGATATGACCCACAGAGACCACAGTTCTTTTTTCCATGGGACAGGGAGTAGTAAGAAAACTGAAACTTCTTTCTTCTCCATGGTAAAACTGAGTGACAGCCTGTTCTTCTGCTTAGGTTTCTGCTCAGCTTATTAAGTGGTTGTAACTTCAGAGCTTTTAGAACTATAGTTTTAAGAAGGCAAAGCCACAAGATTGGCGTAAGATGGTTTTTAGCAAATAAGCTAACTTAAAGCTGTGTTGTATGTATCTGTAAGGGCTAGTGCACATATCGCATTCCTGTCATGGGCTAAATTTAAGGGATTCACAACCATAGGAAAGAAAGTAGATTGCAGTTGTAGTGGTAAAAAATGTATTCTCACCTTCTTTCTGTTGCAAGGAGGAAATGACCTTCATCTGCACAGCAATGTTACAATGGACCCAGCTTTCTGCTTTATTTATCATGAGGTTAGGTAGCAGATGTAGGATATCTGTGGATGGTTTAATACTTTAGGCCACTTACCAAATCAACAGGGAGCGTGTGATAAATTTGTTGATTAAGCTCATAAGTTCCAGTAGCCAAGAGAACTGCTTCCCTTAATGCCCCTTTTGTTATCAGCTGCAGTTTCTCTCACAGTCCCTTCTTTCTCCTCTGTTGGTGTCTGGCTGTTTGACTGGCTGTGTGCTGCCACCTACCTCCACACTTCTGTTATGCTTCTTGCGTAAAATTAGTGGCTCTGAGAAATACGTAGGGAGCAATGTGGAATCCTTTCTTCTTGCAAGTGCCATTTTGGTACGTTTGGCTACTGATTTTAATTCAGTTTATGAACAGCTATATGGAATTTCTTGCACTGAATTACATTATGAACATGTTTAATTTCTTTCCAAAAATAATTTATTTCAAAACTACAGGCCCTTGACCCTACAGCTTTAGTCCTAGTTGTCACACTGGACAGCCCTGTGCTTGTATCTGTGAAGAGGAAAGAAAGGTCAAGCAGTAGATGCATAGATTATCTGCTTCTGTGCAGTTTTAGGACATTGAACTGTCTTTTGTAAGTTGCTCTGTGTTAGTGTGCTTCACAGATGCTATAGAAATGCTGAGAAATTCCATTTGCATAGTAATTAAGTCTACTCTGTAAATACTGTTCTTGGACAGTTGAATCTTTGTCTAGTTCCTTTTTTTTTTTTTAATTTATACATTCTAAAAGTTGATGTTTTGGTTATTCAATTATTTTTAGATCACAGATCATCATGCCTGGAAGAAGAGGAGCTAAATTTATTTATTGATGTGGACTGTGTGCATACAGAAGCAATTATGACCCCTATGCCTGAAGGATTATCACAACAGCAGGTAGCAAGCTTTTGGAATTTCTGGAGCTCCAAGATTTCTGTTTTAAATATAGAGAATATTCTGCATACTCTCTGAATCTTAAGTTTTCTTGTGATTTAAAAAAAGATGAAGTTCAGTCTAGAGAAGTGTCACCCCCTCACGGTCTATATTAATGCTGGAAACTATCAGCATCAGTTTGAATTTTTGACAGAAAATAAATCCTGTGAGTTCATGTTACTGTGTTGTTATGGTAAGTAATAATAGCTGGATGTGAGCTTTTAGTGTTTTGTGGTGTGAAGTCCTGAGTTGGTCAGTACCTTCAGAAAGTGTACAGCAAATCTAATGGTATTTCTTGAAAACGAATTAAGGAGAGGTTGAAAAGAGTTGTATGGGCTTTTTTTTTCTCTACTTGTCAAGTTTTATAAAATGTTAAAATAAATGTTTAAATGAAATGTTAAAACTTGGCAAATTTTAAATAAATATATCCCCTTCAGAAAAGAGAGAGAGAGCTCTTAGTTTGGAATAAACTACTATTCTTGGTTGTTTATCCAGGAGGAGCAGCCCAACTGAGCAGGGGTAGAGTTAGGAAAGCCAGAGCTCAGCTGAAGCTAGTGAAGTGTGACGGAAGAAAAGAAAGGTTCCTTATCTCTGTATCTCTATAGGTATATATCTATATCTAGCAGATACATATATATGTATGTATGTATACCTATATAGATATATAGATATATATAGATGCACATGTAAGAAAAAAGAAAGTTAAGAAAAATAAGGTCTGACAAAGGACACTGAGAAGACTGAGAAAGTCAGTGCCACTTTTGCCTCAGCTTTTACTAATTAAGGATTGTCCTCAGACTTTCAGAGCCTCCAACCCTACAGACAGGTCCTGTGAATTATTACCTGCAGTGGAAGAGGATGCAGCTAAGGGATGCTGGTGCTGTGGCCAGTTGGAATTATGCATGTCCTTAAAACTAGGTGACATGTATTTAGTGGTACTGAAGGGAAGGCCTTTATCATCAGTGCCTTGGAAAAAATTAGACATCACACTCATCAGTGGTACAAAGTCCAGTAGGTGGCCAGTGTTAGTAGTGTCCTTTGGGAGCTGATGCAGAGCCAGTGCTGTTTAATGTCATTAACAATCTGGATACCAGCTGCAAGGCACCTCTCAGCATGTTTGCAGTCAGCACTGAAGTGGGATAAACTGCAGGTAATATGCTGGGAAGTAAGGCTGCCATTCAGGCTGACTTTGAGCTGAAGAGCTGGTCTGACAGAAAATCCAGGTGTTTCAGCAGATTCAAACAGGACTCCTGGTTTAGGGACAGCATAACCCTGTGTGTGACACAGTCTGGAGGACAGCAGACTAAGTGGCAGCCCTTGGTGTCCCAGTTGTGCTGGGTGAACTTCAGAAGCCCCTTGCAACCTGAATTACTCTGTGATGAATAAGCTGACTTTATGAATGTGCTTTCTTTAAACAGTAGGTGGCAGGATAGCTTTTGTTTAAAATCAGGCTCCTGTTGGACTACTACATTCTGCTTTCTGTGACTATCATGTTAGCTTTTGCATCATTTTAAGACTGTGACATGAAATCTTGTTGTTCACTGTTTACGTCTATATGATACTTTAGCAGAAGTGCGAATGCTTGCATGTAGGCCTCTTGTAAGCTATGAAAATTATGATTAAGTGCTTGTAGGCACTTTAAAATATTTAATTTGTGTATTGTAGAGCCTGAAAAACATATTTTGCAAACATATTGATTCTTTCCAGAAGAATGAAGTGCGACAAAAAGTGGAGATACTATCTCCTACTGGTGCAGCCAATATGTTACACCCAATAAGAAACCGTTAAATCCAATCTAAATACAAATTAGACACAATGAATTTTACTATATTTATCTTTAAGCAAGGTCTAGCATAATTTTAAAATCTTCTTTTGAAATGCCAGCGCTTGAAAGTAAATCCTTACATGACCTGCATATAACTTAATAATATGAAATACAAGTGTGGAGAATTAAAGGCAGCTGCAGAGAATAAAGCAGGAGGCCACAGAGAAGAGAAGCAAATCTGAGATTTGAGTTTCATGATAACTTATGCTAGTTTAGAATAGGAAAAGAAGCAATTTTGCCTTGTCTTGTGCTTGTGGGAAATGTATTTCTGCCCTTGTATTGCTTTCTCCTTCAAACAGAACACCATTTTTGAAAGCCTCGGGATGAGTTGGATTAGAAAGTTCTTTTAGGTGAAAATAAATCCTTAAAAATAATAAGAAATATAATGCATATCAGTTAAAAGTTTTACTTTTGAATCAGATCAATTTCTCCATCCTTCCATGTATGCAATATGCATTTCAACTGGGGGAGTGGAGGAGGATATCTGATGAGTAGCCTACAGTCTGTAAACATAAAATGCGATAGTATTTCCTGAAACTCATCTCATTGTGCCAGTTGGTATGAATATAGATAAGGTTTTCACTTGTCTCTAGATCTGCCTGTGTTCATGAAGAGGACAGGACAGCAGGCCCACAGGCACACTGGCCCAAAAAGCTGGGAAGTAGGGTGGGGGGGGGGGGGTGTGGGGGGGAACAAAGAGGGAAATTAATAATAATAAATAGGGAAAAAAAAAACAAAACAGTGGCAACGATCTGAGAAGGAAAGTTAGCTTACTAATTATGATAACAGAAATACAAGTTAATTGGGAATGAAGCTAATAAACCAAATAGATGAGAGAGAGCGTGTCCCAAACCAAAGGCCTTACTGTAAAGCTGAAGTCAAGATGGCTAGGGAGCAAGCACAGCCAAGACGAGCAGCAAAAAAGAGCAGTCTCATGGCTTGTGGGCAGTTTTATCTTTCCTTCTGAATGGAAAATGGAAATGCAAAATCCTCTGGGGTATGTAGTTGTTCTTCTCTTCTGAGAACCAGGTACCCAGAAAATTGGCAGTCCACAGAACTGGAGCATTTAACTCTTGAACTCCCAGTGCTCTACGTGATGTTGTGATATGGGATACCTATAAGAAAAATCGTAAAGCCCAAATCCTGACTTAGATACTTTACTTTCCTTTGGCCTTGCTTTAAAAAGGCGATTAATTTTTGCTTATTTGTCCCACAAATCAGTCCTATAAAGGTTATATAATATTAAAAAAAAATAAAAATAGAAGCAAGTAGAAAGAAGGATTTCTGCTTGAAGACTGATTTTGAACACCATTAACTTGTTTTATTGTGGTTATTTACTGAAATAGCCAATATCTTCTGTAGCTGTTGTTATCTATATCTAAATTCATATATCTACAATTAAATTGTATTAGAACTAAAGTTTGGAATTTGAACAGTAAACAAAGACTACATAGGCTTGCAGTAACTGTTATTGTCCTAATAATAATTTTAGAGTAATGATAAATTTAATGACTCTTGAAGAAGTAGAGTAAACTAGAAGTAGTTTATTTTATGGCAGTGCCAGAATTGCTTTGTGTTTTTTTGCTTGTTATTAATGTGACAATTTGATCATGAATATTCCTTGTTACAATGAATACGTTTACCTGAGAAAGCTGTTTTTCCTCAACAGGTTGTGAGAAGATATATTTTGGGCTCTGTAGTTGATAGTGAAAAGAATTATGTGGATGCTCTGAAAAGAATCTTGGAGGTACATTGTTAACTTTGGTATTTTATGATTTGAGATATGAAAATTAATTGAATAATTGAAATAATTGAAATTTGAAATTAATCCTTAATGAATCTGTAGTGTGACTCTCAGACTTTCCTACGGATTCCTTATGCCAAACATTTCAAGAGATTTTATTTGTATATACTGTTACATAAATTGTTATTGTTTCTTCTGTGTATAGGAGACCCCATTTTTAGGTGGTTTTAATCTATGTCTTTTTTTTTCCACAGCAATATGAGAAGCCCCTTTCAGAAATGGAACCAAAATTACTGAGTGAAAGAAAACTCAAAATGGTCTTCTATAGAATTAAAGAAATTCTTCAATGCCATTCAATGTTTCAAATAGCCCTGGCGAGTCGTGTGTCTGAGTGGGATTCTGTTGAAATGATTGGCGATGTCTTTGTTGCTTCAGTAAGCAAATACATCTGAACTGATAATCTATTTTTAGTTTAGAATTGTTATTCAATCGTATCTTTCTGTCTAATTTGACCATTTTATTCCCATGGTCTTCAGTGCCTGCGGCAACTGTCAGAATGTGTATGTACCATTCTGGTAAGGAGCATGTGTCTTCAGCTAGCTTAGCAGATGAGAAGATTGTGGCTAAAATTTTCAGGCTTTGATGAAGCTTTGAGATGCTTAACTAAATAGTTTCTTTTTCAGAGTAGAGTGATTCAAAAACCAACCAAAATTAGTGAGATTGAAACTCTTTATCTCTTAAAAAACACCTACGTTCATTGGACTTAGAATATTTGTTGAGAAAACAAAGAAGAAAAAAAAATCACAGTTAGGTAACGTCCTGAATTCCTCAGTCTGAACTGAGCCTGGAGCACTGATGAAGAATATTTACAAAACACCACTTAATGGAAGTCCATCCAGTGGAGGATTGTTTGAATTAGAGGAAACAAAATGTTCTCTCAATTGGTAGAAAGATTTTATTTCTGTGTGTGATTGAAAAGGCTACCTACCTTGCTGATTTGAGTATTTTGCTTTGTTGCCTCCCAGCTGCTGGGTATTACAACTTTTTCCTTTCATCCAAAACAGAGCTGGGATCTGTGTTTTTGAGTGCTTTGACCCCACTTTAATAAAAAAGGAATGTTTACTAAAGATTTTCTTTTTAAACCTGATCTGTCTTGTTTTGACTGGAGCAAGTTGGGGCATATTAATTAGACCAGCTCTGCAAAAGAGAGGGATAATCTTTACTAAGTAAGCAATAGGCAGTGATCTTTCCCTTCATGTGGCAGTTTGCAAGCTGCAACATCTGCTTTCTTGATAAATGCCAGCTGAAGATGGGGCATTAATATGACTGGGACTTCACTTGTTCATCAAATCAGGAAGGTAGGCAGCAGTGCATTACTGCTGTTGATCATGGGATCCCACCAGCTGCTTTGACTCTCACTTGGAGGCCTCTTGATTACTCAGTCCTCGTGCCCTACTATTGTAGCCAAGATGATGCTATTTCTGTAAATTTACATTTTTGTAATTCACAGCTGCTACATCGTTAGATCTCCAGCCTGTGTTTTGTGGAAAAGTTATTTTAGGCATCATCAGTATTTCTGTAGATGCAGCACTAAGCCAAGCAAAAGCCTTCAGCACCTAACAAAATGAGTCCTTAATCTGTCAGAGCTATAAATAATAATGCTTTCAGATGTCTTTTGGGCTTATACATAAGTTTTACCTGCTTTTGTCTTTAGTTTTCGAAGTCGATGGTATTGGATGCGTACAGTGAATACGTAAACAACTTCAGTACAGCTGTGGGGATTCTGAAGAAAACATGTGCCACCAAACCTGCCTTTCTAGATTTCTTAAAGGTGAGTTATTATTTCACTACTGTATTTTCAGGGTGATAACGTGATTTTAGATCTTGCATGTATTTTGAAAAGCAGAGTGTTTTTGTTTTTGCTCAGTTTACTGGCTGGTGTTTGTATGACTATACTTGAGAAAAGACTGGAATTCTTTCATGCCAGGTGACCTTCAAAGAATAGTTCACCATTTGAATCCTCTTATTTGGGATTTATTTTATGTTTGACCTCCTTATTGTGTTGTGCAGAGTCATACAACTATACTTATGTTCCAGATTAAATTCCTATTATTTTGAATTTATTTTTTATTTTTTTGCAATCTGCTGGGGTGAAATTGAAAGTATTTGTACAGAATGCTTATTACCCTGATGCTTCCAGTAATGTTTATTGAAAGCCTGCCACATGCAACAGAACTGCTGGGAAGTCTTAGGGATGATACCCTATGGAGGATAGGCAGAATCCACTGCAAGGCTTTTAGGTTATCAGTTCCAGCAGTGGCGTAACTACCTCGTGTCACTCCTTGTCAGTACCAGCATTGATAGTACTCAGAGCTGGTCTCACAGCTGAACTCTGAGAACACAATAAATTTCTATACCTTCTTCTTTTACTTCTGCCCACCTACAGCTAACAGGCTGTGAGCCAGAATCTTCTCTGCTGCTGGCTGGACAAAAAAATAAATACATGTATGTGCCTTGGAAATAAATAGGGAAAAACGGATTGCTGTGAGGCTGATAATAAAAATAGAAAATAAATAGGAACTGGAGCATTATACCCATTTAATGTTATTTGGGTTTTGTACTGTAATGTTTCTTCTAATCTTCTTGGGTTGGGTCATCTGTGATTCTAATCAGAATATTTCCAAATGTTGGAGTGAGTTATACATACAGGGTTTCTGCGTATGTAAATGATTGTTTTTTTTTTGTTTTTATCTGCTAGTCCTGATAATCGAAATGACAAATTCTTATATATTTATTTCCAAACAGAAATTGATGCTCTTTTCCTTAGTTTCTTTTAATAAAGAAAATGAAAGTCTCTTTTTGTTTCTGTAGTACTGAGGTGATTATATTTTCTTTAGATTTTCTCTTAAAAAACACGTTGGTTGTTACACCTCTCTGGTCTCAGTCCCAAGAAACAGTCCAACAGCAGTAAATTAGACTATAAATCAACAAATCACTTAGGAATTTTAGATTTAAGACCCTGAACAAGTACATTCGCTTTATTGTCCTTGATGTTAAGCAGACATTTCATGGTGCTGGTTATGTGAGAAGCATGAAGGTGCTCTGACAGTGTATATATATATGAGCTGCCTTGCTGATGGGGCTCCACCCCAGCTGTACTTTTTAGGGAGTAGATCTCAGTTGAGTGACCATGCCGTCATTTTAATAATGATTTTTTTTTAAATATTTTTTTTAATGAAAATGAGAATATTTGCAGTCCTGCTGTAATGAATGGTAATTATGTTGAAGAACTTTCAGAACATTTTCCTTTCATTCTGTGCCTGATGGAAATACAGAAGTAAACAGTGTGACATTCTCGCATTGCAGCAGTGCCAGGAGTCAAGCCCTGATCGGATTACACTGTATGGTTTAATGATGAAACCTATCCAGCGCTTCCCACAGTTCATTCTGCTATTGCAGGTAAAGAATATTTACCAAATAGATTTACCTAAGAATGTTCTCATTGTGTTCTCATGTGGCTTGCCTGTGGGCTTTCTGGGTAGCTGTCTTCTGCTGGAGAGGAGCATGCTGCAGTAGGAGTTACCACTGGATCATGAGGAAATAACAGGGAAGAGAACTTCAGTGCACCATAATGTACTGATCTCTTTGTCTGATTGCACATACTGCAGGAAAATCTCAGTAAATTTGATATACTCTAGGCTGCTAGGCTTATTAAGCTAGATGTAGCTTGTAAGTCCCTTCACATGAAAGCTGTAATTGGAAAGTGCTACTTGTTCATAGCAGTTTAAAATACTAGTAGCAATGGTGTGGTATTACTTTTTGCTTAAGCAAAATGCCAGACAGAATTCCTTGCTTCAGACCAGCTTAGTAATCTTCCAGCCCATGACAGGTTTACACAGTGAGTGCGAAGTTTGCAGTGTCACACGGGGCAGGCTTTGGGATGAAGGTCCAGGAATTACTGGTGAGATTCAGAGGTAGTTGTGGTGGGAGCATGAGGTTAGGTAGCTGTGGCAAATGTTTTTAAGGTAGCAGAAGAGATGGAGTTTACAATAGTAGGAAGTTGTAGTGAATACGTGGTGACTTTTAAGTGCTGTGTGAAAGGAGCGTTGCTCCAATGTATGCCTACAGAAGGGAAGGATTCTTTAGAAGCTGTTGTGACTTCCGTGGAATAAGTGTGGTCTGCCACTTTGGGATGAGCAAGCTTGTCAACATACTAGTGAGGAATAATGACAGTAATAAAGGGAATATAGCACAGATATTATAGATATTTATAATAATATATATTATATAATTTGTAAAAATATTATAGTAGAAAGTATCAGGAAAGTTTAATTTTAAATAATTGCTTATACACCTACTTATTTTAATACTGATTTTCAAATTACTAAATATTATGTGCAACTTGTGTTTATTTGCTTACTTTTGCATTTGATGTTTTTACGTTTATTTTCAGGTTACTTCTCACTACTTTCTCTATAAATAAGCTGTATGCAACTCCATTCAATATCTTTTAGAAACTATTAAGATATTTTGGAAAATAGCTAAAGCACTGTCTGAATATTCATTAGATATTTATTGGTTTTATTCTTTAAAGAATGTGGCGTTAACATACAATTCCACTGGACATCCTCTAGCCTTTCAGACTTGAGTTTGAAGTTGAACTTGTTTTGTTTGTCTGTTTGTTTTATCATTACTCCTCAGGATATGTTGAAGAACACAAATAAAGGACATCCTGACAGATTACCCCTGCAGATGGCTCTTACAGAACTTGAAACACTAGCAGAAAAGCTGAATGAAAGAAAAAGGGATGCAGATCAGCGCTGTGAAATAAAACAAATAGCAAAAGCAATGAACGAACGTTACCTGAACAAGGTTAGGAAATGTATTTGAAATGTGTGGTGAAAGACTTAATGTTATTGTTAGTTTCTGGACTTGAATAATCTTTAGAATGGACGCTGAAAGGATGCCTGTGGGCTTTTTTGTGGTGCTTAATACTGTGGGGTTTTAGTGATAGATGTGAGATGTAGGTAATCTGCAGGACTGAATGGGTCTGCTGGTTCTAATCATTGTGTGCTTAGGGGGGGAGGGGAGAATAGATGCTGAAATAACAGCAATATAGGATAATAAAGTTTCTTGTTTCTGCAGTAAGTTTTCATGCAGATCTCCTGCATGAGAAAATTCAACTTTGAATTTATCCTAGAACTACGGAGTTACTCCTGTTTAGAGGAAGGAGCCAGTTCCTCATACAGCAGTGTTTCCAACTGTGGAGCAGTTCTGGGTGTGCTACGGAACATGTTCATTATCTTCCTTGTTTTAAGGAACATCACAGGCTGTTTCATTCACACACCTGGATCATACAATAGAATAATCTTTAAAGAATCATAGAAGGTATTTGGTGGGAGGGGAGGAACAGTTTTCTTTGAGATTGTTAGTGGATATCTGTATTGTGAAAACATGTGTGCTTATTTGCACTGTAACTGCTTCTGTCTTTCCTATTGCTCTAATTATTGCTTTAATGAAGTTACAGATAATTGTGCTGTGGACTTACTCTGGGTTGGAATAATGAGGATGTGCTAAAACCATGCAAGGAGTATTTCTGTTTGTGATTCACGGTCTTGTAGTTTTAAGGAGAGAAAGCAGTCAAATGGAATATGCTAGTCTTAACCTATTTATCAAAAATGAGAGACTGAATTTATTATCATATTGGAAGCATATTTCCATTCTATGTGTGTTGCAGGATGGATTTTGTGATTTTACTTTCTTTTCTAGATCTTTACACTCCTGCTTTTTGAATTAGCTACTAATTATCATGTACAAGTGATTGAAGGATTTAAAGTTATAGAATATGCCCTTTAGGATGTGGCCAGATTTCTTTTATCCAATGATCTTAACCATACAGTGTTAAATTCTGTACTGAGAGGACACTGAGATATGTCTTGTGACCTAATATTTGCTTATACAAATTTGGAGCAGTGCCAGATGGTGAAACAAGCAGGAAAGGATGTGGATAGATAGGAGGCGAGTGAGTTACAGGCCATTTCATTCTCTTGGCTGCTGCAGAGATGTCTTTGACCTGTGAGGAACTGGTTCATTCTTGCACACATTGTTGAGCCTTAGCGCTTGAAAGAAAATTGCAGGAACAATTCACATGTCGTGCATCTTTTGTACATGTCATAGTCTTGGCAGTCTGTGGAAATATGTCAGCTGCACTCCTTAGCTGACTTTGAGAGCCGGTGGAGACAGAGAAGGTAAAAGCACTCTTTATCCACCCACTCCTGTGGGAAATGTCCCTTTGGGATGCCTGGAACCGTGCATAGCGTTTAAATGCACTGTGAAAGAAGAAATGAGGGAGGGAAACAACAGGAGCTGTGGAAGCTATGATTTTTTTCTCACTAGACTCCTTTACCAGTATGGAAGACTTTCAGAGGGAATTGCATGTTCCTTATAAAGACTGCAGACCCCTGCAGGCCATACTTCTGGGGGCATATGTCACTGCTGCTGTAAACTTATCTGTAAACGAAAATCAAATCAGTAAAAAAGCATAATTTATTTGGCAAACCCACCTGGGAGCATTTATATTACTATGGCAAATGGTTGTATTTTCTTTTATCTTTTTTGCTCTGGATGCTAGGTATTCTGTATAATATGTATAATATGGAAAATTGATTGTTTTTAAAACCTAGCTACTCAGCAGTGGAAACAGGTACCTCATACGGACTGATGATATGGTGGAAACAGTTTACAATGACAAAGGAGAAATTGTCAAAACCAAAGAGCGACGACTTTTCATGTTAAACGATGTGCTGATGTGCGCAACTGTCAACGTGCGGTAAGACTTCTTTCCTATGTTTTAAATGGCCACCAAAGCTTAAGCTGGAAAGAAATGACAGTGAAAAAGCTTTTTTGTTTTTGCTATGGCTGATGATTTCTCTTACTTGTCATAATGAATAGACAGCTAGGTTTCATATCTATCTATCTATCTATCTAAAATAAGTTGGAAATTACAAGTAAAGATTCAATGCTGATAATCACTCGTGCATTAGTGTTTAGTGGAGTGGAGGCATGCTGCAGCAGGATTTTTTTCTTTCTCTCTTACTCCTTAAATTCACACTGTCATACATCTGTAACTTGACAGAATTTCCAAATTAAAACAAAACAAGAACCAAAGCTAATGCATGTAGCCAGAAAAAAAAAAAAAAAAAAAAAAAAAAAAAAAAAAAAAAAAAAAAAA